AACGGAGAGTTTGTCCTCCCACCAAAATAATCCACCTCTCAGGTCATCTCCAGTTTTACTGAAGAGCCTCTGTTGTTGTTGTTGTTGTTGTTATATTTATATTTATATTATAAATATTTAACTGAAGAGCTTCATGGCATTGTCATAGCTGATGGTGAAACTCAAGTGGCCTCAGAATAAACAAGAGTTGCTTGAAACAGAAAAGGCAGAGGAAAAGAAAGTGGTTGTTTTATGAGACACAAAGCACAACCAGGGCTCTTTTAAAAGCATTTTCTCCATTGCCCTGTTGGCTCTTAAAAGTGGAGGAGCTTCTGCCGTCCTCTCTGCTCTTCCTAAAATCTCAGCCTCCCAAAATCACAGCCTCCCAGTTTCCATCCTGCAGTCACAGCCTGGCAAAACCTGCCTTCCCATTTATTCCTCCAGAATGCAGCTTGCTTCTGCTGCTGCCCTGCAAGAAGTTTGCCTGCCTGGCTTTGGATTCGGGCTGGAGCTGCTTGACGTATTCCTTAGTCAGCCCCACGGGAGGGAAGGTCCAACCCTGACACGCAGCTCCCGAGGAGCTCCCTGCCTCCATCCCACCTGGCCTCACTCCCAATCCCGGGCGTAGCTCTGGCTGCCCTGCAGTGCTGGTGGTGGCCTCGGATGGAGGACAGGCAGTGTCACCTCCTGCTCTGGGGCTCAGCCGTCGCTTGTCCCAAAAGCAAATCCCCTATGGCCTCTCCAGCGTGGGGACAGCAGTGTCCCCTCCGCAGGGATGGACACCCCCGGGGGAGCTGGTGGATCACCTGCCCCTCACTCTCCGTGCCCAGGACAGTCGGGCTGTGAGCCAGCCAAGCCTGTTCTTCAGGTGCAGCTGTGCACTTCCCCTGAGCAGTATTCCTGCTCCAAACACACGGTGCTGCCAGACCAGACCCAGCTCTGTCATTCCCAACCACGGGCACTGGCAGGAACCACTGATGCCACTCCGGTCCTTGTTCCCCCTGTGCCACACCACCAGCCCTGGAGAATAAATGGGGGCTCAGGGGGGGGTTGTGTGCTGCTCTGCACCCCCAGGGGCTGGCTCTGGTGACCTGGAGGGGGTTCTAAATGCACATTCCCAGCACAATGTTTGTACTTGCAGACGTGAAACCTCCTGGAAGCCCAGGGGGCTCTGTGTTTGCTTTCCCAGCAAATTAATTTTCATTCAATGGCAGCTGTCAGAGCACTCTGAGGTCTTCTAGAGGCAGCAGAACAGCTAAAGAAAATAATTTCTAAGTTTAAAGTTCAGAGCAGCAGTGGCTGCCCCTTCCCTGGAAGTGTCCAAGTCCAGGTTGGAGGGGACTTGCAGCAAGCTGGTGCAGTGGAAGGTGTCCCTGCCCACGGCAGGGGATGGAACAGGATGAGTCTTGAGGTACTTCCAACCCAAACCTTTCCATGATTTCTGTGTTTTTAAAGCCCAGTTGGCAACAAATAATTGAGCAGGACAGGTTGGAGATACCACAGAGGAAAAGTGAGGTGCTTCAGTCCCTGCCAGACTGAAGGTGGGTGGTGAAGCAGAGTGAGCCTTGTCCTCAAACAAGGATCAGCCCACCACTCGGTGGAAACTGAGGAGGGGGATGTGGCCAAAGAGTCTTCTCTTCACTCATGTAGAAGCAATTTGACCCAACCACCTCCCCAGCAGAAGGAAAGTGGCTTCAGAGGGTTCTGATGTTCTGTGAATAAGGTGAGCACCCCACAGAGGGACTTGTCTTAGCTCCTGCACTGCTGCACCAGTGAAAGTTCACCCTGGCCATTGGAAACATGCTGCAAGGTGGGCATGTTTCACATGGAGACAAACCATTCCACTTGTTCTGGATGAGGGAAGGGGCTGGGTTGGAGGGTGAGCTACTGGGTACGTGGAGAGCTGTGGGCTGAATTAGCTGATTCCCTGTCAGCAGCATGAGGGTTCTCCTTCCCCTGATTCCTTGCCAGGGGAGCATGACCACTGGAGGAGGAGCATGAAGCACAGCCCAGGAACCCTGTAAAACAAAGCAAACCCTGTAAAACAAACCAAACCCTGCCATGGGGGATCTCTCCTGCCAGGCACTTTAACATCAACCCTATCACCCTGACCAAGCACCATGAGAAGAATGTGAAACCCAGCTCTCCACCATAAATCCTTCCCTCCTGTGCACTCATCTTCAGGATGAGCCACTGCTTGCCAAGAAAGTGAAATTCAGTAGAGAAGCCTCAAAAAGAGGCAAGAGATCCCCATTTTCTCACCTGCAGCTCATTTTGTTAACTCCTGTTGCACAATCTCAAGCCTGTGATTTAAAAGCAGTGTTGGTGAAGGAAAGCTGGAGATGAACCTGTGTCCAAGGGCTGGAGTTTCTCTTCCGGCACGATAAAAGTTTGGGAAATGTCAGCAGTGCTCTCTGATGGTCAGAGATGACTGGACTTTAAACTCAGACTGTCAGCTTTTATTGTGTCACTATGGCTATTTAAGCTGCCATGGCTTGGGCAGTGCTCCCTGCTTGGGAAAAACTGGGAGCTCTTCCTGGAGCACAGGCTGGGATGGCCTGGGAGCTCTTCCTGGAGCACAGACCAGGTGGGTCAGCAGGGCGTGCAGCCCCGGGGGGTCCCAGTGCAGTCTGTGCTCATGGCTGGGCATGAACCAGCTGTTTTCTTGCCTTGCCTGTTGCAAGAGCTGCACATTGAGAAATACAACGGCAGCATGCTTTGCCAGCATCATTTCTCCCTGCCCTCCAGCAAACTGGCCCCGCTGGGGCGCTCCCCATGCCTGAGACCCAGCAGGGGCTTGCTGGGGGTGCCCAGACCCGGGCAGGACAGTGGTGCCTGGGGGGACAGGTCCTGTGCTGCCCAGCACAGCTGAGGCTGCTCCAGCCACTGAGGGGGCGTGTGGTCAGTTCCCACCAAGGATCTGCATCCATGAAGAGTCTGGAGCACCAGGAGTGGCTGAGGGAGCTGGGAAAGGGGCTCAGCCTGGAGAAAAGGAGGCTCAGGAGGGACCTTCTGGCTCTGCACAACTCCCTGACAGGAGGGGACAACCATGGGGGTTGGGCTCTGCACCCAGGGAACAGGGACAGGATGAGAGGGAACAGCCTCAAGCTGTGCCAGGAGAGGTTTAGATTGGATATTGGGAAAATTCCTTCCCAGAAGGGGTGGTCAGGCATTGGAAGGCACTGCTCAGGGCAGTGGTGGAGTCCCCATTCCTGAAGGGATTTACTGAGGTGTGGACGTGGCACTTGAAGACTTGGGTTAGTGCTGGACTTGCAGTGCTGGGGGAACAGCTGGACTCCATGGTCTTAGAGGGCTTTTCCAATCTAAACAATTCCAGTGGGGCAGCAACATCCAGCCCCCACAGGGGCTCACCAGAGGCAGATCCAGAGGGTCCCGATGCCTTTTTGACCCACCAGAGCCTTTTGCCTCCCCTTGTGGGGGTCACCATGCCCCCTCCACGGGGTGTCCAACCCTTTCCATGTCATGGGCCATCAGGGCAGGGATGTTTCCCTGCTGCCAGGCGGGGCTCAGACTTGTCAGGCATCTTCCCCACTCTGTTTTGCTTTGTAGAGACAAATTTGTAGGGAAAAGCTGGAGTCAGTGGCCAGAACAGCTGCTACGTGAAGGGGTTGTTATGACAAAGTGAGCCTCACAGCTGCTGCAAAATAAACCCAATGGGGAGCGGGTCAGGCACTGCCTGAAAAATTAGGTCAGTGGCACGCTGGGCTCCCAGGGAGGATGGGAGAGGAGCAGAGATGTTGGTTTGCTCAAGCTTTTCTCTTGGTGAGGCTGAAACTTCCACGTCTTGCCACAGAATGTTGGCTAAAAGGGCTTGGCTAACTCTGACAGGGAATAAAGGGTCTCTTCATGCCATGTCCTGGCCCCAGATCTGGCAAATTCAGAGATGGAAGCTGAAAAAGAAAGCTGGAAAACAAGGATGCTTCTTTTGCCACCCCAAAGCCAGTGATACCCACCCGTCCTGGGACAGGCTTCAGAAACTGGGAAGCTGGCAGCCCAAATGAGCCCTTTTCATCTTAGCAGCGCTGACTGTCACACTGGCCCAGGCAGGTCACATCCCGAGGGTCCTCACCGGGGGTCGGGCGGCGGAGAGAGGGAGGGAGGGAGGGAGGGAGGCAGTGCCCGGGAAGCCGCTTCCCGCGGGCTCCAGGCACCCTCTCGTGGTGATCACCCACGGCCGGGTGCCACCGAGGGGGGCTCGGTCCTTGGCACCGCACAGGAACCCCCCAGCCCTCCCGGGAAACCCTCCCGGGAGCTGGGATTTATTTCTCCAGCCTCAGGACAGCGCAGGGTGGGCCCCACTCTTTGGCGTGGGGTCCCCCTGCTTTACACAGGGAAGCGGTAAGGAGGACAGAGCACCTGAAGCTGGTTTCTCCTCCGGCTGGATCAACCTGCCCTGCTCCTTCTGACGCGTTTCCCCCTGTCAGGAGCTTGCAAAATAAATCAGTGCTTTGCATAAACAAAGCCCCGAGAGGTGTTGGTGAAAAAAAACAGAGCTCATGAGCTTCACGAATGCAGCTTTTCCTGTAAAAACAAACACCGAAGTTTCTTTTTTCCCTCCAAAACCCCACGGCCCGGGGAAGGATTTCTCCATCTGTCCGCCCGGTTTCCCCCTCCCACCATCTAGGAGCCAAAGCTCAGCTGCTGAAAGGTGCCTCCCTTTCTCCTCGCCCCTTCAGGGGACCTTTGGATTAAAATCCCAGTCGTTTTCCTCGCGGCAAGGCTCCACTGCCGGCGCGGTTTCCTTGTCCAGCCACGTCCTGCAGCCGGGCACAGGAGCCCAGAGGCGGCTCGGGGCGCTGGGTGTCCCCGCGGGTGGGTGTCACTGTCACCCGGCACAGCCCGCACTCCCCAGGTGTCCTCGCCCCTCGCTGCTCCATGCTCGCTGCCTTTGTTTCCTGCGACTTTAAAGTTCCCTCGGCGCTCAAAGCGAAAGAGGGAGGAGAAAGCGTTTCATCATCGCTCCCGGGAGCCGACTTATAAGAACTTGGCGCTGCCGCTGCCGGGCTCACTCGCAGCCTCGCAGGGATCCCGGCACAGTCCGTGCGGCCGGCGGGACGGGCCGGGCCGGACAGCGGCGGAGCCCACGAGCAGCCCAAAAATCCCGGGCTCCCCGGCAAGCCCTCGCCATGGGAGTCCGCCCCGAAGTTGGCAAATCCCCGGTTGACATCCCCAAGAGCTCCAGCACCTGCTCCAGGAGTTTTTTCTGCAACATCAAAGTAAGGATGGGGCAGGGATGCTGGCGGGGAGGGAGGGGGGTTCCTGCCCGGAGAGGGAGCCCAGCCCACCCCAGGCATCCCCGTGTTCCTCGTACGCACCGCGGGTGAAACGAGGGGTGTTTGATGATGCAGAATTTGAACATCAGCTCCTGGGGCAGTCCTGGGGAATCCTGCCTGGGCAGGGCCGGGGGGCTCTGCGGGTTCGCAGTGATGCCCTGCACGGCACGGGGGTGTTTCACCCCATGGAGCAGCTCTCCGTGAGCTTCCCCACGGCGTCTCGTACACGGTGTGCTGCTGCCTGGGGAATGATTAACCACATCCTGGTGTGAAAAGAAAGCCCTGCCTTAGAATAGCACGCGCTTGCTTTAAAAAAACGTGTGTGAGCAGAGGTTTTGAGTGGCAGAAACAAAAGCTCGGTGGGCTGAGGTGGTTTCCCGGTGCTGCCTGCCCAGTTCCTCACCTGCTGCCCCGAGAGCCGGCCCCTGCCCGAGCTCCAGGCTCCCGAGCTCGCTGCCGGGGGAGGACACACCGCTCCCCCCGGCCGTGTGTCACCTTTCCCATCCTGCCTTCACACCAGCCCTCACCTGGCTTTCCCCCCGCCCCGCTCTTTGGTTTTTGGATGCGCACCGAGGCTGCTGCACGTGCTGGTCCCTGTCCCCGGGAGATCCGCCGGGATGTCCCTGGAATGGGGGATTTCCGCGCCTCCCTTAGCAGCGCCTCCTCGCACGGGCACTGGAGCAGCCGGGCGCGGTGTTTGGGAGCGGCTCCGGGGATGTGCGGGGCAGGACCCTCCGTGCCGGCGCTGCCGGGGCTGCCAGGGCCGGGCCGTGCTTTCCCACCGCTGCTCCTGCTCTGCTGTGTCCGCGCCTCCCAGCCCGGGGTTCTCAGGATGCGCGGCCGTGGAGAAGGTGTCGCGGTCGGGATGGGTTTGGGGTTTGTTTTTTGTTTGTTTGGGGTTTGTTTGCCATCACGCTTCCCTCGCCCTGTCTGGAGGACGGTGCTGCCCGCTGCTCCCTGGGCTGCGCTGGAGTGCTGTGGGAATGCTGTAGGGTACCACGGGGCTGCTCCTCCTCACAGCTCCCAGGGCTGGAGGCATGATCCCAAATGATGCCTCCCAGTCCCATATACCCCTGAAGGTCCCCACTGCCTAGGCTGGGCTATTCCAGCAGGTGACTTGATGACACTTTTTGGCTGCGGGCTTCAGGAGAAAGAGCTTGAGATTACCCTGGGTGATTTCTGGGCTACACTGATGTTCCTCTGCAGGGGACTGCTGACCTGTCCTCTGCTCTGCTGGAGGTGCAAAACTTGCCCCCAGCCCCCTCCAGGCTGCTGTAGTACTAACCCTGAGTTGGGGTGAGTAAAGTCACCCAAAAACCGAGCCCTTCCTGCAGTTCATGCTCTATTCTGGCAACTGGCAGCAAGCATAAACAGCCTGGAGTGAAAAAAACATTGCCAAGCCCTCTTGCAGGATGTCAAACTTTCGGATTAAAGAACAAAAGCCCCAACAAAATAAATGCTAGTCCATCTGTACACCCCAGAGGCAGCCGCAGGGTGCCCCACAGTCAGGCTGGGTGCTCAGCACCCCACATGCCCCAGGGCACTTGCATGGGACCTTCTAGGGGCAGATGACTCGGGAGTGTCACTTTGCTAGTGGCAGGAAAACCATTGCCTGAAGAAAAGCTTTAAAACTGCTTTTTCAAGTTTTTGTTTCAAAACTTCTAGTTCAGAATTGTTTCTGGTTTAGCAGTCTGGCAGTGGCACCGTGCAAGCGCGTGAAGGAACAGTTTGAGCCCTACCCAAAAGAGCTCCTTGGCATCAGAGGGATGATGTGCTCCATCTCGGATAGTGGGCAGTCAGGACGCACATCCCTTAGAGAAATATTCACTCTTTTAAGAAAAAATGTATAAACTGACAGGCAACAAGATCCCCCACCCTTTCTTGACCTATTCACTCTTCCTGTCCTGTGACAGCTGCATTAAAAACCTACACATTAACAAAAGAACTGCTTCAGGGTCAGAAAGGATTAGCCTGTGTGCAGTGTCAGTGCCCTCATCCCCCAAAAATGAGTAGGATGTCAAAGGGCCCCAGTGGAATTTCCAGGTTTGGGGAGTTTTGGAGTGAATGGTCATCAAAGTATCACAGTGGAATTTCCAGGTTTGGGGAGTTTTGGAGTGTGGTCAACATCTGGCTTTGAAAGGGTTTGTAGCTCTTATTTGTACAAGAAGCCACCGGTGCTATGAATGATGGATTATAAAAAAGCCTCATCCAGCCCCAAATTTTATGGGAAGCTGCAGGCATCACCCTCCCCAGAGCCGTCAGACACAACATCCTCACACAGACAATGACAGGTTCTGATGGGGACAGTATTTCCAACACAACAAAATTCCCTACATTTAGCAGGCTTGGAAGGACACAATTAAGACATGGAAGAGTTAATCACAAAGCTCATATTTAATCCCCAAAACCCATGTGATGGGATCATATCCAGGGTGTCTTTTGCAGGGCTGGGGCCGAAATAACAAATTATTTTTCCATGTAAACCATCTTTCCCCTCCATGATCCCTGTGACAGGGACCACCACCCCCTGCAGCAGACCCCATCCCTCCCAGGGTGTTTTCCAGAACTGGAGCCACCTTTGGAGGTGTGGGAACACAGTGGTGCCAGGGATGGGCATCAGGGAGGGAGAAGTCCTGGTGGAAAGGGGCAGTTTGAGGGATTCCATGGGATGGGGTTGGAGTCCTGGGGACACGGCTGGGGATGCAGGAACACTTCAGGAAGCAATTCCCTGTGGATGCGGCCGTGGGCTCGGACAGGCGCGGTTCCAGCTGCTCGCCGTTCCCTGTGGAGCCCGGCTGTGACAGTTCCGTGTGGAGCTGCGAGTCACCGCCGGTCACACGCGGGTCTGCGAGGGCTGAGGCAGTGACACACAGCGGGCTCGGTCCGCGCTGATACCGCGGGCTCCGCCTGGCCCGGCCCCAGCCTGCCTGCCGTGCCTCCCAGCTGGAACCAGCCCAGCCACTGCTTCTGGTTGGGGTGCAGGGCTGCCGAGCCCTCTGCCCACCGCTCCCACCCTCATCCCCACAGAGGAGACAAAGCAGAACGCAAAACTCCTTCAGGTTTCGGGGCTGGGAGGTTTTGGGGCTGCTGAGCTCTGACCTCGGCCAGAGACCTGGAGCATCCCGGTAACCCCGCAGCACTGCTGGGGATGGGGGTGATGATGAGATATTTAGATGGGATATTGGGGAGAAATTCTTTGCTGTCAGGGTGCTGAGGCCCTGGCACAGGTTGTCCAGAGAAGCTGTGGCTGCTCCATCCCTGGAAGTGTCCAAGGCCAGGCTGGATGGGGCTTGGAGCAGCCTGGAACAGAGGAAGTTGTCCCTGCCATGGCAGGGCGGAACAGGATGGGCTTCAAGCTCCCTTCCCACCCAAAACTTTCCATGATTTCTCTGATGAGCAGGGACATCCCCCTGCCTGGACGCTCACCAGAGCTGCCAGGGCTGTGCTGACTGGCACGGGGCTTTGGGGACGTGCAGCTGTGCTGCTCTGCAAGAGCAGCATGAGCCCAACCTTCAGGTGGATGCCAGCACCTGGTGGCACTGGGGACACCGGGAAACTCACAGCCTAAAGGATTGAAACAGGTTTAAAAGGTTGGTCCTTTTGATACCCACACATGGCCAGAGACCCCATCAGTGTCCCCCAGTCCAGAGCCCCAACCATGTGGTTTAAGCTCATCTTGGGCTTGATGATCTTGGAGGTCTTTTCCAACCTTAATGAGGCTATGATTCTATGTCCATTTTCTGCTCCCAGACAACCACTGGAGAAGGATTATTTCACAGGAATTCTCTGTTTACAGAGCCTCAGATATTTTGGCTTCTTCGCCTTTACTGTCTCATTCGTGGTTTTGAACTATTTTAATTGATTTTGGGATCCCCAGAAAGATGACAAGGAGGAGAGCTTTATAAATATCTTTTGATTTAGAGGAGCTGGACTGGTTTCAGCTGGAAGCTGGAGAGCACAGAGGAGCAGTGTGAAAGTGTTGAGAGTGCAGGCAGAGGGAGGCCTTTTTTTCCATGCCTGCAGACCGCCTGGCATGGAAAAGGCAACAGGAGGACAACAGAGAATTATTCTCATTTATCAGCCGGAGGTGATCCAGAGAGAGATTTAAAAGCCTTAGGAGAGGTTTAAATTGGGTGTTGTACTGGGGCAAGGAGAGGGAGGGAATGGAGGAGGGTAGGAGAGGGGACAACAAGGTCAGGAGGAGACTGTGGGCTCTCAGAGTGTGATAAGGCTTGGAAGCATCCTGGGGTGAAGGTGTTGGGAGCACACAGGGAGCAGTGAGCAGGAGCAGGGAGCTCTCCTCCCTGGGGAGTCTGGATGCCTCCTGCAGAGGAAACGGAGCCGGGCCTTGGGGTCTGAGGTCCCAACAGCAGCAGGGCAAGTTTTTTGTCCCTTCCTTCCAAGGGACTAAAGGAATTTGCTGAGGAGTGTATTCTAGAAGCCTGGAGATGTACCAGTTGTGCTCTCATATCCTGTTGGAAAAGATTATTTATTGCTTTGTTTAGCCAGAACAGGAGATTTATCAAGTCACAGATCTGGAGGCAGTGTGGCTGTAGGTTTGGAGAGGGAAACGCGGAAAGGAGAAAGTCATGGCTGATTAGAGCCATTGATTTAAGCAGGAAAATCAAAGCAGTATTGCAGTTCTGGGCACTGTGCAGGCAGGCACGGCGGGCTGGAAGAGTGTTTGTGGCAAAGACACAAGGAGGGTCCTTAGTGACATGAGAAGAAGGACCAGGATCTTCCAGCATTTGTGGTGATGCTGCTGGCACCAGACAGCACAGGTTGGGTTTGGATGGTCCAGCACCGCTTTGGTGGGATCAGGCTCCAGAAGGGAAGAACCACCTGGGATAAGGAAAAAGATAGGCAAGGAAAAAGATAGGTTGGAAAGTTTAGTGGGATCAAGGTCTAGGAGACCAGAGACAAGGTAATTTTATGAGGGGTGA